GTCAGCACAACTCCCAGGCAGTGGCAGCCAGGAGGGGTAGCCAGTCCAGGCAGCGGTTCATGCTGAGGACAGACTTGGCCCCCAGCACTTGGCTGAGCCCATTACATGTGCCTGGCATAGTCAACACACAGCTTCTCTAAATCAGTAGGAGTAATAGTCCCATGTGAAAGACAAACTGTCCTGCTTTCCTTTTGAAACCAATTCAGAAAAATGGAGCCAAGATGTTTGCCCCAGAAATGCCACTTCTAGGCCACGAGACCCAGGGAAAAAGTCTGGGATGCAGGAGATACCACACCTAGACTCCCTGCCCACCAGTGCCGAAGGGACAGGGAGAAGTGAGACCACCAGAGGACCAAGCCGCTAGGGAGAGGCATGGTACCATCTCCTTCTCTTTGAGGGCTGGGGAGAGGGCTGTGAGGGGCTGGCTCCAGGAAGCTGGGGACAGGTTCAAGCTGAGCCTGGATCCTGCAGTCCTCATCAGCGCTATCTGCAGCCCCCAGCTCCTCGACCGAGGGGCTCAGTGTAGGTTTTGGAGGGTGAGGGCCAGGGGCTCACAGAGGAGCAGGGCTGAGGATGAGCAGACATGGGAAGTGGGCAGGGAGGGTCTCTGGGCAGTGCAAGAAATATGCAAGGATCAAGATGCATTCTGCTGGTGCCTAGAAGATAGCTGGGATCCCGGCTCAAACTATTGCCAGACTAAAGCACGCAGGGGCTGATAGTGGAGCTGTGAGGAGGGGCACCCTCCCCTGGCAATGGGCTAAATCTCTAAATTTCTCCAGACCCCAGGACCAGGAGAACTGGGGCAGGCTGGGGGTGGGATCCCCCTGGCAGAAGGAGGAGCAGGGAGATGGAAGGAGTAAGTGTCCTCAAGGGACTAAAGCCAAGTGGTCTGCTGGCCTGGCCCAGCCTCTCACCCCACCCAGGGCCCTCTGCATGGCCTTCAGTTTCCTGCTCCTTGGACTTCTCTTGGGTACTGAGGCCAGGCTGTGCAGGCCTTGGAACAGAACCGAGCATCTGATCCAGGATGCAAGCTCTGAGTTCGAGGCTGGGTCCCCTCAGAGACCTTGTTCTCATCTCAGGCCTGTGGGAGGACTGCAGAGGGGAGAGGCAGAGCTAAGTGCCCCTCCACAAGGGTGGGGTGGTCACAGCAGGGTGAACAACCTGCAGCTCACATTCCTGGGCTCTGAGAGGGGCTGTGGGGCACGCCGTCCTGGGAGGGACCCAAGTGTGCAGGAGGACATTCGTGACACTGCCTCTCTGTGGATGCTTGGCATGGGGGTGCACAGTGAGGGGCAGGGCAGGTTCCCCCATTGGAGGGAAGATGGGTCCAGCACCAGCACCAGCACATCCCCTGGCTAAGACTCATCCTTTTTTTTTTGAGGCAGGGTCTTGCTTTATAGTTCAGACTTGCCTTAACTCATAATGGTCCTCTGCCTCGGCCTCCTGAGTGCTGGGATTACAGGCCCATGCCACCACACTCAGCAAGCCAGTCCTACATGGCATGGCAATTGGCATTCAGGCCACAGACACAGGCAGATAAGCTGGGACCCTTGACTGGCATCCTAATGCCAGCTTCCCATGGGGCCCATAGTTCTGCAGGTGGGTCTTTTTCTCACCATCTCCTCTGAAGCCACATGGTCTAGCCCTCCTGACCCACTCAGAATGTCTGTCCTTGCCTCCTCACTGTGTGCCAACCTGCACACTTGTCCTTCAGGCTACTCTGCACTCAGCAACTAGGGCTTCTAGTAGTGAGTCACCCCCAGCCGCTTTGGGCTTGAAGACTACAAAGGTCTCTGCTCCTTAAGGAGGCTCCTCCTCAGGCCCTGCCCATGTGAAAGAGAACCACAACTTCTTTCTCCACTGCCTGCAGCCCTGAAGCCAGAGGAAGAGGCAGCATAAAGGGGCATGGAGACTGTTACAGGCAGAAGCTGCAGTGTGGAGGTGTACAATAGAGCAGCCTGGGGGATTCCTGCTGGGGCTGAAGTCCTGTATCACCTGTATGGCTCCTCTGGCCCAGCTGGAAACATTGGGCTGAGGCCTCCCAGAGTTGCTAACGAGGGATAGTCTAATGGCTGTGCCTAGGAAGGGATGACTTCACCCAGAGATGACGCACCCAGAAAGAGGAGCTGGAGTTGCAGGCAGCACCTCAGCTGCCACAGCACCTGCTTGGGCTTGCTCAGTCTGACAAATAAGAAGCCATATGCACCACGTGTGTGTGTGTGTGTGTGTGTGTGTCTGTCTGTCTGTCTGTCTGTCTGTCTGTCTCTCACAGGGCCAGAGGGCTTCAGCCTGATGGAGGAGGCGGGTAAAGACTCAGAGAAGCAGGGATGGAGGGAACTGGCTTCTCCCGATTGACTCGATGTGTGACAGGACAGGACAATTCTGAGCCACTCCAGGGCTCCTGATGTCAGATGGATCAATCCTAGGAGGTCTCTGGGAGCAGGTGAGATTATGTCCCGTGGAGCCCAGAACAACCAGGGAAAAGCTGTCAAAGATCAGAACCTGTGTGTCCCTGTCCTCCCTCCAGAGGAGTCTGGCTCCCACACAGGCCCTGGGGCTTCTGCTGAGGTTTTGGTGTGAGTGCGGGTGCTCCAGACACATCCATCCATATGCAGAGGCAGCCTGATGCTTGAGTGCAGCACAGGGAGGGGGCAGGTTCCAGCATGGGCTTGCTGCCCGCCCCCACCCTGCCTATACCCTAGGCATGAAGGTGTCTGCATGCTGGGGAGGCCCCACGGGGCCAGCAGCAGGACAAGGCCCTCTCTAGAGGCTCAGAGCAGGATTACCCTAGGACATGTTCATTCTTTTCTATCTCCTGGTCAGTATTCTTCGAAGTAACCGCTCCACAGTGCTGCAAGTTCTTCCTGGTGTCCAGGCTTAGTCACTCTTGCTGTTGCACCTGATTCATTTATCAGAGGACAGGTTGAAGGCTGTATTATCCTGCCACCCAGTCTGACAACACTAAGCTTTCCCTGGGGGATGTTCCCACTCCCAGAACTGGCCAGCGGCACAGGAAATGACTGCTGGATGAATGTGAAGGTGAGTAAGTGGCTTGGATCTGCCTCCCAGGAGAAGGCTGAGAAGCAGCTAAGAAGTGGTTGGGTGCCTGGGGCTAGAGATGAGATGGAGACAGAAACAGAGACCCAGAGGACTAACAGCAGGTCAGGAGGAGCACCACGGCATAGGGAGAGAGACAAAGCAACCGCAGAGAGCCAGGTGTGCAAACCTCAGGGGATACTGGCATCAAGGGCCCTGGCAAGGTTGGTCAGGACCAGGCTGAGACTGGTGGAATGATAGGAGTTCAGGTGGTCATGTGTCAGGAGCCTGGGACCCGAGTATGGGAAGTGGTCCAGGGCAGCATTGCCTACCCTAACATCACAGAGCAAGGACCCAGGGCCCTGCACTTAGTTACAGCCCAGGCCCCTGTTCCCTGGCAGGAACCTTAGCCAGGCAGTGCTGAAGTGGGAATTTCCACAGATGGCACTGAGGGTCAGAGAGACCACCTGGCCTAAGAGTGCCAGGGAGGGAAGCGGTGGGGTTGGTCTCCCTCATGCACTCCCTGGTCCCCAGGCCTGTTTCAGGAGTCAGCTCAGGAGGTGACGGCTGCCCCACCCCCAGTCCTGTACTTGGGCATGCTGGCACTGCCAGGCACTTACTTGCCTGTTGAGGGCCCAGCCCCCAGCCGAGCACCCGAGGGCTTCCCTGGCCCTGGGTGAGGGCAGCAGGAGGAACAAAGGCGCAGTCTCTGCCTGCTCAAGCCCCCACCCCCTTGCCTGCCCCTGGCACAGAAGGACCAGGGCCACAAGGGAGCCCAAGAGCAAAGGCAACGCTCACCATTTGCCTATGAGGCAAGAACCCTACTTCTCAGCCCCACCCTGCAGGCCTGCTGCTGAACGAAGGGGCTTCTCCATTCGGAAGCCCAGAGAATTAAGTGGGAAACACAAAGGCCAGCAGTCACACAGCTGCAATTGGAACCCAGGTCCCATGGCTGGCAGAACCTGGCCTCTCCCCCTGGTCACAGGCCTAGCCGTGAAGATGGTGACTGTGTTCTGGCCCTATGCGACTTGGGCAGCTACGGGACAGGGTCAGGGAAGGCAGAGCCAGAGTAACCCAACAGGAAAGACCAGAGGGGCTGTATAGCTCTTGCTCTGCTGGTGCTGATCACATAGCCTGAAGGGCCAGAGCTGTGTAAGAAGTGGGGAAACTGAGTCAGCACCCAGGCCTCCTAAGTCCCTGCTTGGGGCTCACCTGATCCAGCAGGTGAGAGAGACATAAACCTACATCCCCACTCTACTGTAAACAGGGCTGTTACCCATGGGGGGCCCAGCCCCTCTGCCCAGCCACGGCCACCATCCTCCTCTAGACCCTTCCCTGCTCCTAGCTGCAGCCTGGGTCGGCCCACACCCTGCCTGTGGGAGCCTTGATGATGGAGGGCCAAGTATGGCTGATGCCTCCTTGCAAGATTAGGCCCTAACCAGGACATGAACATAAAGAGCTCATCAGGTCACATCTGAACAGCACCGTCTGTGTGCTGGTCCCATTCTATAGATGGAAACCGAGGCCTTGTCTAGAAGCCCTGCTGCTCCCTCCCACCTGGGGGGCACCCCCAGTTGGGCTATACAAGTGCCTAGCAAACTGTAGGGAGGTCCAGGCCGATGCCTCACAGAAGCAGACCCTGAGTGCCTGTCGGCAATGCCCATCAGCATCCCAGGACCCCTGCCCTTACCAAACAGTGTAACTCATTTTAAAGAAAAAATAATATTTATTTGCAATATAAACAAAGTCCTGTTGCTGGTTCAGGATATATATATATATATATGTGTGTGTATGTGTGTGTGTGCGTGTGTGTGAACACAAATTTTCCTTCATAAGCTCATAAAGCAAAACTGGCCACCCTCTGGCATACCCTCATGTACACAAATCAGACACATCTTTCTGGGTTTTTCTGTTTTAAAAAGTAGAGAGAGAAAGAGAACCATGTACAGCATGGAAGCTTTTTGTCAATTTCTCAACTGTGGCAAGATTTTAATCTGCTGCCCCCAAAAATCCCTGAAAACCACCCTGTGAGGTAAGATGCGGTGGGGGCAGTTTCCGTGGCCTTGCTCGCATGCTGAGTGCTGGCTCCATCAGGGACACCAGCCCCACGGCTGACCCCTTCCCAGGTCCTGTGCAGCCCTAACACCTGGGTAGAAGGAGGCTGGAGAAGGAACAAAACTAGAGGAGCGTAACAGAATCCGTGGCTTTGTTCTGTGAATGCTGGGGTGGACAGAGCTTCACACCCCTTCCACTTGACCATCACCGCCCCATCTGCCCCTACCCTAGGGTTAAAAGGGGTGCAAGGTTCCTGGTAGTAAAAGGCATGGCCAAGATGTGAGTGGGGAAGGCTTCCATGGGGACAAGGGGACTGACTGGAAGCTATGGCTGGACCAAATCAACAGCCAGGGTAAGAGAAAGAATCTGGGATGCAGGGCTGGGTCCCATCACCTAAGCTTTCCCCAGACACTGGCCTCCACTCCCAGCTAGAGAGAAAGAACAAAAACAGAAGTCATGGTAAGTTTAGAAAAGGGCCCAGGGTCCAGCCTCTGAGGGGCTGAACCCAGAAGGCTAATGCTACTGCTTGGCAGTCCCCTGTGCTCCACCTCTAGCAGAACAGAGGCAGGACCTCCATCTTCTGCCCCAGGGAGGTCTGCAAGACCACTGGAGGGGCAGTTGGGAGGGCAAACAATGTAAAGACCACTGGTCCAGTCCATTGAGCACACTTACAACAGTCAGCACAGGTGGATGCAGTGCCACGCTGGGCTGAGCCATTGTGGGGGATGGCTGACTCCTGGAGCACAGCAGCCTCCTCTTCCAGAGGGCCTGGTGGAGAAACAGAGGCTTCACACGTGTGCAAAACGCATTTGGTCAAGATCAACATGGGGTTTGTCTTTTCCACTAAGAACAAAAACAAAACATATCAATAACTGCTTTTTGAAATAGGAAGAAAAATGAAACAGAATACTTCTCTCTCTCTCTCTCAGGATCAAGAAAGGCATGAAACACTGATTTATACAATTCACTGTTGCATATAGTCTGAAAATAACACTTTTTGTTAAAAAAAGAAAAATCAAGAAGAGCTTGAATACACTCTGAGCTCCAGGGAGCTTGGATTTACCTGCCAAAAGTATAAAGTAAACTCAGGTCCATGGATATGTCTTTAAAAATAGCCACATGGGCTGGGCCTTCCGCAGAAAGGGGTGTCCCGGGAAAAGATGAGGCCTCCTGGCCCCCAAAGCCACACATCTGAGATCCCAAGCCTCTGCAGTGAGGAAGCCCTGCCCGTGGGCCCTGACCCACAAGACAGCAAGGGAACTTGGTGTAGCTCAGCCTGGCCTCCAGGCACAGGCGACGTGTGTGGGTTCCTCAGGCCAAGGGCAGCAGGCTGGGCCTCCTCCAGGCCCTGTGGACCCGGCCTCACGTGGACTCGAGTGTGTTGAGTGGGAACAGGTTGCGGTTGGTGGGAGTGGAGAAGTAGAGCTGTTCACTGGGTGCGTGGTTGTCACATGGGCTGCTTAGCCCCAGCGTCCGCTCAAAGTCCAGCAGCTGCCCCATGAAGTTGAAGTTGGGCGAGATGTTGGACTTTTTCCTCTTGACGAAGTCATAGGCGTCATTGAGTGACAGGTTCATCTTCTGCATCAGGTAGGCCACAGTGACTGTCACCGAGCGGCTGATGCCTGCCAGACAATGCACCAGGACGCCACACTTCTTGGAGCGGGCTTCCTCTGAAACACATGGGCAAGGGTCAGGGAGGTACCATCTCCATGGACTCTTCCAAAACGGGAGCCAGAAGGGCCACAGCAGTGAGGCTGGACTCCACAGGCAACTTGGTGGCCCTTCCTGACTCCTGAGGGACCTCGCCAGTGTGGGGACACAGTGCTGTAGAGAGGGCCATGGCATGCTTCTGCTCCAAGTCCCTGCATACCTCTGTGTCCCTGAGTCCTCTCTGGCACCTCGGCTGATTGAGGTGCTTTCATGAGGACCTAAGACAAGCAAAGGGTCAGCAGACACGCACTGCTATCACACACTGTTGTGATCACTGCTCATCCTGCTGGTGCTAAGGGTGTCACCCTGGAGGGTCGCCTGTACCATAGCCAGTAAGCCATTTTATCAAAGTAGAAATAAGTGCAGAGACAAAACGACAAGACCAAGACCACATAGAGGTTTCTTATAATTTGTTACCCACTGGTGCCAGGCTGTAACCTGAGTAGGGGCTGTTTGTTCTCTTGGTGTGGCACCCATGGACCTTCCCAGAGCCTCCTGGGAAGCAGGCCTGCAGAAGGCTCCCCTGGAAGGAAATGGAGACCTGGCCTGCTCTGCACTCAGCTCTACGCTCTGCTCAGCTAGTCCCCAAGGCCCTAGCTCCAGCTCCTGAAGACCTGGGGACTTGGGTGTAAGCACATCTGATTCTCTCAAATGGGGTCTGCTTAACTGGGAGCCACTCTCCCAACTCGATGGCCCATGTGCCAGTAACAACTCCCACCACAGCCAATGGGGTCTAGCCAGTAACACCGGCTGCACACCTGAGCAACTCAGCCTGTGATCTCTCCTCCCCCGATTCTGCAGCAGCTGCCTCTTTCTGTGCCATAGCCACACCAGGGACACAGACTAACAAGCAGCCTAGGATCTTTGTGGTTCCCATCTCCCTAACTCCAAACCTACGGAAAGCCAGGCACAAAGTCAGCCCTTAGTCAGTGTTCTCCTACAGGGTGACACATAGGTTCATAAACTATTCTTCATTGCCTCTGGATGACAGAGCTTCCTCTCCCCATCTCCATTCACTGGAGGAGACTCAGGATTAAGCACAGGGTAGGTGCTTAATCCACACTCAGAGACTGACAGTGGGTCCCCTGGCTGTAACATGGGAGGCAGAACTAGCAGGGGAGAAGAGAGATGCTGAGGCTTCAGGTGAAGCCCTACAGTCTGACTTTGCGATTTGGGACAAGAGAAGGGGGTGGTGGAAAAAAGCGTCCCCATGACACCAGGGTGTGGGGACTGCCTGGTCCCAAAACCCCTCCAAGGAGATTCAGAGTGAAACTCTTGCTGATGGCTTTATTTTGAGCCCTTTCAGGGCCTGACTTGACCCTGTCCCACAGAGTCCATGCAATGCTAGGGCTTCAATTCCTTCATTTGTCAAATAAGGATAAAGGTACCTGTCCAACCTCTGTGTGCATCCCATTCCCTCCCGCTTTCCTTCACCAGATATGGAGGAATCTTTTTTTTTGTACCAGGGATCAAACTTGGGACCTTGCACTTTCGAGGCAGGCAGTGGAACCACTGCGCTAAATCCCTGGCCCTGGAGGAATCTTTAAGAAGGATAAAAGTACCACAAGCCAGGTTCAGCCCTGGGGAATCTGGTGTCCCCTCTCGGCCCCCTCCCTTTGGTGGAGAAGCACAGCACCCACAGCCCACTTGGTAATGTTTCCCAGCAGGACAGAAGCTCTAGGCAGCAACAGTGGAGGTCCCTCCTCCAGGCCTTAGCTTCCTTTCTCCCTCTCAGCCAGGCACCTAGTTTTGGTTCCCAGTAAGCGGATGAGGCGAGGAAGCCTCCCACTTCCTGTTATTAGAGCTAGCCCAGCCCAGCTGACACCAAATACCCTCCACTGGACATAGCCAGTTGCCATTGGGAAAAGACTGCCCAGGCTACCCCCATCTTGCCATGGAGGCTGGCAGAAACACTGGGTCACCAGCTCAGAGTACAAGTTTTACATTTACCATGAGCCTGTGTCCATTCCTCACAGCCTGGGTGAGACCCAAGACCAGGAGAGGACTTGCAGTATAACAGCCTTCAGCTAGCAGAGGAGGAAGCAGGAGAAGAGCCCAAATGTGCTGAGGCTGGGGATATAGGCCTTTCTCAGGCTGCCCCCACCTTCTCTATATGCCCCCTTTACTCTAAACAAATGCCACAGGCTGCTGAGAGCAGCTGGGGTCCCACAGAGGCCCTCTAGGGTGCCACATCCTGATAGCTGCCTGTCTGGATAAGTCTCTGGCTCCAGGGCTATCTTTTGGTCCTCTAAGTAAAGCCCACAGAGGCACCATGACAGCCCTATCCTGGAGAGACACGTGCTGAGGCATGATACAGAGCAAGCGAGGCCGATGGGAGTCTGTGAACTGTGATGTTTCAGCTTGCTCAGCCTGAAACAACAGCAAAGCAAACCTAAGCTGGACAGCACAGAGCCCAGGACTCAGGGGACTGCTCAGGTCTGGACAGGTAGAGGGGCCTGAGGGACTCTGTGAGTCACAGCAGGCATGGGTACACCCACAGGCACACGCTGACACATGCAGGGCACACACAGGTCTCAACAGGCCCAGAGGTACCCAGTTAGGCAGGGGCGACACCCAGAGTCCTGCACACACCTTATGCGCCCACCCATCCACCCACTCACTCTGCCCAGCTCCCAGCACCACCTACCAATGAAGCTGATGGCCTCGGGGAAGAACTGGGAGAGATTCTGGCTCCAGTGGTCAGAGATGGGGATCTGCTTGTAGGTGAACTCGCCACCATGCTCAAAGGCATTGGGCAGGTTGGGGGTAACATTGAGGATGTATTTGATGCCGTACTTGCCGAGCACATCCAAGTTGGTGGAGTCCTTGGCACAGCCGAGGTAGAGGTAGGGCAGAATCTGGACAGGGAAGGCTGGCTGGCTGGATGGCACAGGGCTTCCGTCTGACTCGGTGGCACTACTGGGCAGCTCTCGGTCTGACTCGCCATCTGAGCAGTCAGAGCTGATGCGAAGGCCCCCCAGGCCCAGCACCGAGGTGGGTGGCGAGTCACTCGTCGAGGAAGAGCTGTCAACGTTAGTCTCACAATGCTCCGAGTACTCGGTCTGGAACTTGTTGAAACCACCTGTGGCCGGGTAAGATATTGATCAGAGTCCAAAGGGGCCTCACAAGACCACCAGTGGCCAGGGCTCCCCATGTCAGCCCCACGGTCAACATGGCCACACCAAGGATGCTACATGTGAACCCTCTCATTCATTCTCTATCTAAACTGTGACCACTTTACAGATAAGGAAACTAAGGCCTGAGCTCTGAACCCTTACCCATAACACTTCAAGGTCCCCGCCATACTACCAGCTTTAGGGCACTTGAGGATAGGCCCCAGCTCATTCCTCTGCTGAAGCTCCCTTGTTCATTTTAGCATCCAGTAGTGCTCAGTAAGTGAAAGGGTAAAGGAAAACAGACAATCCAGTTCAGGGCAACACCTGTGGTTCTGCCAACCCCTCTTACAGATGAGACCCCAGGGGGCAGAGCCACATCTGGGTCAGCCAGAGGCAGAGAGGGCCTTGGCTTGCTGACAGTGTAGCAATTGCCCACCCCCTGAAAGCCTACTGCAGAGGGTGGTGTAAAGGTACTGGGTGGTCTTCCCTCCAGAAGAAGCAAGTTTGTCAAAGGGGTCCCAGGTCCATTTCTCTGGAGCCCTCCCTCAGAACACAAGGGCCCTCAGCACTGGAACTGCACAGGGGAGGGCCACGGGGGTTATACAGGGACAGGAAAGATGGGGAGAAGCGCCTTGCAGCTAGGCATAGGCTCTGCGCCCGAGGGTGCTGCAAGCCTCCCCCCTCCCCTGCTGCCCGTCCCACTGCCAGCGAGAGGCCATTTTGGAATGTTAATTGGAAACACGGGCTGCAGCCACCACCCGCCCCCCCTGCCTCCCGCTTCCATAAGCTCTGGGGCAGCAGGCTGGGGAACTGGGGCCCTAGGACCTGGGCCAGGGCAATGGACACTGCGTGCAAGCTCTCCAACAGGCAAAAATCCCCAGGTGGCAGGGGCCATATGGGGATCCCAGAGACCTCATCATAAACGGTCCCCATGTAAAGGAGGTTAGATGGTGCCATGAAAGGTGACCGTCCTTACCCTGGCCTTCCCAGGACATGAATTCTAGGCTCAGGCTTGGGCCCATGGCACTTTTGGATTCCAGAAGGCAGCCTCTGAGCTCAGCTAGAGCATGGGCATTGCTGTTGCTCAATTAGCAGGAAAAAAAAAAAAAAAAAGAACACCCCAGGTGAGGTAAAGTTTGTCCCACCCAATTAAATCGTGCCTAGAACGGGGGCGCACAGGGACCTCCAGCGCCTGCCTAAACTCCCTGCTGTTGGGAGGGCGGACTCGGGCTAGGGGCGACGTGGCGTCAGGCCTGGTGAAACGCGCGCAGAGGAAACAGCCTGCAGCTGGGCAGGGGGTGCCTGGATCCCATAAGAGGTCTGGACGCAGCTCTCACCTTGGAGGTAGTAGGCCTGGCAGCCGTCGTCGCGCAGCTTCTGCAGGAGCAGACCGAGCACCGAGGCGGGGGCGCCGGGCTCGGGCTGCCACTCGGCTGTAGCCTCGTCATAGAGCAGCACGGTGGCCGCCTTGCAGCGCGTGGCGAAGCGCTCCTTGTCGGCGTGGTTGGGGATGATGGAGCGGATGGGCAGGTTGCCCTTTCGAAGGCGGCGCAGCATGAGGCCCGGAATAGCCAGGTTGATGGCCGTCTCGATGTGCGACGACTCGAAGAGCTCGTGCGGCCGGCAGTCGAGCAGCAGCAGGGACGCGCCACCGCGCGCCTCCAGCTCCTCCTGCAGCCACTCGGCGCTCTTGCAGGGCATAGCCCCCGCTTCCGTCGCCGCCCTCGCCCCAGTACCCGCGCCAGACCCAGACCCCAAGCCGGGCTCCGACCCCGCCCGGGTGTCCCCAGCCGCCGCAGCCCCCGAAGCCGACATGTGCGCCCGCGCTGGGGGGCCGCGGAGCTGGTTTTTCATGGGGAGCGCGGGCTGCCCGGGGCTGGGGCCGGGCAGCCCTGCCCTGGGACGGCGCCCCGGCCGCGCGGGCCCCAGCCGCGTCTCCGGGCGCCCGGGCCTCCCGCCGAGCTGCGCCCGCCGCCCGGGCCTCCCGGCCTCCCGGCCTCAGTCCCGCCCGCCCGGCCTCCGCGCGCGCAGCGGCCTGACAGCCCCAATTAAACGGCGGCTCCAGCGGCCGCGCGCCCTGGCGTCCTCCTGGAGGCGGAGCCGGCAGCCGGCGCCCGAGCTTAAAGGCGCCGCGCCTCAGCTGCCCCCGCCCAGGGCTGTGGCGAGAGCCCCGCACCCCGCGCCTCCGCTGTCTTGCTCGCCCGGGAACTGGCTACTGCCCGCAGACACAGTGGCAGAGTCCAGCCACTTCCCGGGTTCCCCGTGCCTGCCCTCCTAGCTGGTGCAGGGGCTCTCCACATCTGGCACCCCGCATTTACAGAAGCAAAGGTGCCCCAGGACTGCGGGGCGGGGCGAGGGGGAGGTCACACCAAGCCAACCTCCCCTCCCCCCGCCGGTCATCTCGTTCATTCATCTTTCCTCTAGTTCATTCAGCAAACGGAAACTGCACGCCCACTACGTGTCAGGCACTGTTCTAGGTGGACTCCGCTTTAGGCGACGACCGCATCATCCCGATGGTCACAGTCTCCGAGATCCAAGTTGGAGTCTCAACCCCAGCAGGCTCTCAGGCAAATCAGCACCTAGGTGACTGGAGGGGCAGGATGGCTCGGGGCTGCTAGCCACCCTCCTAGGCTGGGAAAGAGAAGGCCTGGGAAGGGAGAGCGAGCCCTTTAAGAAAGCTTTACGAGCGGGGTGGTGACAAATGTGAAGTGTAACGCCACGTGACTTTTCCACCCGAGCGGGTAGGAGGGAAGTACTCTTTATAATCAGCTGTCTTTCTCCTAGCGCGCTCCTAATGTACCAATCAACTTTCGAGGTAGGCGGGCACGCGGTGCGCAGAGAGCCAGTCACGGAGGAAGGAGCTGTTGTGGGAGGGAGGCGGGGCCCGCCGCCGGTTCCACCCCGCGCGGGAAGGGGACTGGGCCTTAGCGAGGTTGGCGTGTCGGCTTGGTTGGCGGGCGGGGCAGAGGAGATGAATGGACCCCAGGTAGCCTTAGAACAAAACTGATTGACTTGGGTGGCACGCGTGCGCAGGACCTGCCATATTGTCCCTACCGAACCAGGGTAGCCTTTCACCTAGGAGGGAGTGGTCTGCCTGGTCCATTCTCCGCCCAGCTGGGTGCCCTTATGTCCTTGGGACTCAATTCACTCACTCTGTTCAGTTGGTCAGCTCTGAGCCACCTTGCCCAACCCTCAGTTGGGGGAGGGGGATGTCGGGTCAAGAGGTGATAGCGCTTGATATTTGCTTCAATGAGGACCACTCGAAGCCAGAGCATTTCAGCTTTCAGCTGATCTCTGACCAGAAGACACAAAAAGCAATTCCAGCTCCCTCAGTCTTCCGAGACAGCCTGTCTGGAAGGTTCTGTCTTCTCAGTAGGGCTCTGTCGCAAAGGAGCAGGGCTTTCTCTCACCAGGGCAGCCGATGATAGTCTTATCCACGGATTGGATCCCCAGAGTCAACACCCTGCCCAGTGTTGACCTCGGCTTGCTGGGCAGAGACTGCTTCCCTGGGGTCCTAGGAAAGAACTTCCCAGGCCTGAGAGGCTGAGACCCAGATTCTTTCCTGCCATTTACTGATGTATTGTGTGACCGCAATATGATTCTTACCTCTCAGCCTGTTTTCCCGATGTAGGAGAGTGCTAGTTTGGACAGTGTCCAGCCAGTCTGCGGATCCATCCATCTGGGAGGATATCCTCTGAGGCTCTACCCACCAGGGGACATTCTGGGTGCTGGTTGTCTGGGATAGAGGCAGCACTCAAAAAGAGGCCTGACCTAGGTGCAGTGGAGAATGTCAACAATCCCAGTTACTTGGGAGGCTGAGGCAGAAGGATGATAAATTCAAGCCCAGCCTGAGCAATTTAGCAAGACTCTCTCTCAAAAAGGGGGGGAGGGGCCAGAGATTTAGCTCAGTGGTTCCAGTGCCTGCCACACAAGTGCAAGGTCCCAAGTTCGATCCCTGATACTAAAAAACAAAAAAACAAAATAAAAGAAGACAACTTATTTTTTTTTAAAAAAAGGGGGCAGGGGGGCTATACCTCGGTGAGAAGGCAAAAGAAGTCAGTTGTCCAGTAAATCAGAGTGACATTCCCTCAGGGCAGGCCAGTCACATGAACAGGAGGCTCATGTTGTCCTCAAGTGTGACTGGGCTATGTGTTCCCTGTGCTGAGGTGGAGTTGCTTCTGAGTGCCTAGTGAGAACTAGCCATTGCTCTAATGACTGAGGGCTCAACTGAAATGGGTGCCTCTCCTGTGCCCCAGTCCCCCCATCCCCCTAGAGAGAGGAAAGGAGCCCTGCAGCCTCTCACTTTAGCTTGTGATGCCCCCCCCTCCTGTGTGTGTGTGTGTGTGTGTGTGTGTGTCCAAGCGTGTCCAAGCTAGTCCTGCAGGAGGATACACAGCCTGAAGGGAAGATCTGTGGGATGAGTGGGTGGGGACAGGGGCAGGCTCAGCAGGGATGTTGTAAGAGGCAAGGTTTGAATGAGTGCAGAAGGCAGGAAATGTGGGGAGTGGGTGACCATGGAGGCAAAGGGATGGCAGGAAAACTAGCCTGGCCGTGGAACGTGCCAGCAGGATCCCCATCACCCAGGTTGGAGGAAAAGCCCAAAGTCTGGGTTCTGAGTGGAGGCCTTGCCTCTATCTAGAGCAGCTACTGTGGAACTGCAGTGAATAAAACAGGTCACAGCAGGGCTGCCCTGGGTGAGCTCAGGAATCCTTGCTGTCAGACTTACTAGCCTTGAGCAGTGCAGGAAATTGCCAATGGTCAAACCAGGAGGCCAGAGCTGCCCCTTACCAGGGTTCTCCCTGCAGCTGTGAGTGTCCATCAAGGATGCTGCAGGAGGATACCTGGGAGAGGGTCTTTCTTGGCAGAAACCTGGTGCCCTGGGTGAAGCCTTGGTATCAAAGACATTCTTTCTCTTCAGGAAGATGGCCTTTCCTGTTTTCTGAGTTCAGGTCCTCCTTGCCTGCACCACCCAGGAGAGGTGTCCAGCTTGCTAGGGTATCTGGGGAGCAGGAGCAGTAGGAAAAGTCCCCCAGAACAGATCTGAGTCCTTGAGGGGAAGCTGGTCTGAAGGGATAGCAGATGGACATGAGCTCTCTGAGGGCTGTACTGCTCTCCCACACACCTCTAGGCCTTTGCATAATCTACTCCCTTAGCCTTTGGCTGCCTTCTGATCCCAGCTCAGATGTCACTCTCCAGGAGGCCTCCTCTGATCTTCCAATCTAGATTAGCTCCCCTGCTGCAGGCTCTCAGGACCCCTGCCCCTGTCTCTACTCCACATTCCACCAAAACCTCTGTTAGCCCCCCCACCAGACTTGCTCACTTTGGATGCCTGATGGCATGTCAGCTCTCCCCTAAGCCTCTTCTCCCTCCTCTATCCCCTGCCTCACCCCATTCACCCAAGTGCCAGGCCCAGACCCACCAGGCATATTTGGAGCTGCCTTCTCTATCGATACATAGCCAACCCAGAGCCATACATAGAAGGGTTTTCCTGCCAGGGCAAGGCTTAGTCATGATGATAGGCTGTTTTCTGGCCCTTGCTGCTCCTCTGAGAGAAGCTGAGGTCCCCAAGGGCAGATGTAAACCAGTCTGCACACACCATACCCCCCATCCACATGGCTTGGTGACCAAGGATCTGTGTCACCAAGAACAGTAAGTATCCTGGAAACACTTTTCTTTCCCCTCTGGTGCCCATGGATTCCTTAGAGATGGGCCACCATGTTTTAAGCGCATAAGCTGGAGGTGGAGAGAGGCCAGATCCTTGCACTCCTGGGCCTATGGGAACCAGGACAGATATAGCATGAGCTCCTGCTTGCTACCAGAAGGACATCTTCTGTTGGGGTCTATCTCCCATCCTCCATGACAGATGAGCAGGGATGAGGCACTTTAGTCATGGTGCCTCCTGCTGGTGACTAAGCCAGCCTGTGCCCAATAACACTTCCCCAGCCTAACCATGGAGGCCTGCTGAGACCCAGACTCACTCTGCTTACCCTTAAACGTTGGGACAGCTTCTTGCCCAACCCTTGGTTGGTATCCTCCTGGGTTGGTGTCTAGATAAATGATGTCTAAGCCAGGACAGGAAAGCATGGTGAATGAGCTGACAACTCTCTTCTCCTGTACAGAACTTGTGATCATACATACACACCACTCATGTGCATCCACATACACATATACACAAGTACACACAACACATAGACCCACTTATATATCCACATATGCTCACAGGCACATACAAGCATATGCAGAAACGTACAGACCTATGTATATGTGCAGAAATTCATATGTGCATAATACTCTGTTATGTATACACACATTCAGGCTCATGTGTGGGCTCTTGCCACTCCTGTCAGAGGGATCCCCACAGACAGGTCTTCCAGAGATGTTGTTACCAGGCTGGTGGGATCCATAATCCTCTCACCAGTAATCCAGTCACCTGAGCTCACTCTTCCCTATTGGCTATTGCTAGGATCTCTGTTGTGAATGAAGCAGGGCTCCACCCTTGCCTTCCTCCCAGAAAGCGGCTGCCGGGACCTGGTTGACAGCAGTATGACCAACTGATGTCTGTCCAGAAGGGATGAGAATGAGGGTCCTTAGGAAGTAAACAGCCCTGGTGGGAGAGAGGGTCAGGCCCAAAGGCAATGAGAACCCAAGACCCGGCCAGGGTCTGGGAGGCCTGCTTGGAGAAGGTGAGGGGGAGAGAAGAGCCAGCCAGGCCTTCTCTTCCCATTCATTCTCAAACATTTTCTGAGGGCCAGGGATTTAGCTCAGTGGTTCTGACACCTGCCTCACAAGCACAAGGTCCTGAGTTTGATCCCCAGTACCAAAAAAACCAAAAAACAGAAAAACATTTCCTGAGTACCTGTCCTGTGCCAGGGACTGTACAAGGTGATGAGGTAGGGATTCACG